AGAGATGGGGACGGGGTTTTTAGCAGGGCCTGTAGCGACAGGACAAGGGGTGATGGCTTTAAACTAAAAGAGGGGAGATTTGGACTGGATCTAAGAAGGAAATGGTTTACAATGAAGGTGGTGAAACCCTGTCCCAGGTTGCCCAGAGAGGTGGGAGATGCCCCATCCCGGGGGACATCCCAGGTCAGGCTGGACGGGTCTCAGAGCACCCTGGTCGAGTTGAAAGATGTCCCTGCTCACTGGGGGAGGGGGTTGGACTAGATGATCTTTAAAGATCCCTCCCAACCCAAACTGTTCTGTGATTCTATGAAAACAGCCCCAAAACGAGACTGTTTGTCCATCCTTGCTGTGGGTCCCTGGCTTGGTGGGACCATCGGCCACATTTGAGCCGTCCCACACACCTGAACTCACCCCGGACACCCGTGTCCAGCCCGGGACAGAACTCACGTCTCGACACCCACTCCACGCGCTGGGCCAGGCAGCCAAGCTGGGCGTAACGAGAACTGCCGGGCGCTGCTCGGGGTTTCAGTGTGGGCAGGACAATTAGCCAGATAATTAAAGGGGAACAAAATATGGGGCACGTCTGGAATGGGAGAGGCTTTGATTTAAGATGCGCCTGACTGTGTCGGACACTCATTTTTGGAGGGGGCGGATGCCCTCACCGGTGACCTTGCCCTTGTTTTCCCTCTCAGAAAGCCCTCAGCCAGGTCCTGTTCCTGACCCCTCACTTGCCGACCTTTTTCCTGAGGCATCGCCTGCGGAGCCACATCTTGGAGATCCGGCACCTGGACCGTGCCATGCTGCGCCTGGGCTTGGGCCAGCTGTCCGAGGAGGAGCTGAAAGCGGTGAGGACGCTTCCTCCAGCCCCGCGTCGGCTGCTTTACCCGGGGTTGTCTCATCCCAGCCCTCCCCGTCGTTAGCAGAGCTGCGTCGGGGTAGGGCACGCTCCTCCAGACCCACCATGAGGCGGATTGCAGCCCCTCTGCTCTGGGAAGGTGTTTTCTGAGCCCGGTTGCCATGCTCGGGCCACGCCGGGGCACCACAGGGCACGGTTCAGCGTTGCTCAGCCCCGCTTCACGCCAAGGAAGGATCACGGCGCGATGCCCGGCGTTTCGTGTGACTCGGAGTGCCCATCCCTGAACGTGTCCTTATTTTTTTTCCTCTCCCCTGTTCCGTAGGCATGTTACCTCCGTGGCCTGAACTCCACTCATCTCGGCATGTCTGAGTGCAGAGCGTGGCTGGAGCAGTGGCTGGGGCTCTCCTGCAAGCTGCAAGGTAACAGCGGCCGAGGGGCAGCTCCTGCCTGGTGGGGCAGGGGGGACCTGGGAGCTTCTCGAGTTTCTGTGGGCAATGGGAGTGTTGGTTCTGGGGAAATTTGGGGTGAATGGTGGCTTTAATAGGGATTAAAGGGCTCTGGGGGGGGCTCTGGGCTGTCCTGCTGATCTCCTGGGGCCTCCTCGCTGAGAGGAGGATGTAGTGGAGCGCGCTGGCTCTCTCCAGGGATGTGTCCGTGCGGAAAAGCCACAAATACCTGTGCCCGGGTGTCCCTGTCCCGCAGAGACCTCACGGTGGCAGATCCGAGCCCCGCAGCAGCGCCGGGGGAAGTGAAACAGGCGCGGGAGGGAAACGGGGGACCCAGCGCAGAGCAAAAAGCCCCTGGAGAGAGGGGCCGGGGCAAGGGGGAGCCCTGCAGCCTCCGGTGCCGCACTGGCGGCTCGGGATGAGGAGGTTTGGAGCGGTTGGGCCGTGGCAGTGCGGCTCTGACCCCGCTCTCGTATTTTCCTCAGCTTCCGAAGCTTCCCTCCTGGCGAACAGCATGGTCCTGCTGTCCCTCAACTACGTCAGGGCCAAGGAGTGATGGCCGAGCCGCCGGCTGCGCACCCTCACCCCTGGCGTCGCGCGCCGACCTGGCGGTTCCCAACCTGGCGCCGCAAAAAGAAAACGCCTTTCGGTGATGTGAGACCTCGGCCCGGAGTCAGCGCGAGGGGCCCCGGTGCCGCCGTGGGGGCGAAGACGTGACTCCTTCCCTCCCACGCCGGAGGTTTGTGCCGGCGCCGGCTCTTCTCTTCCCCTTCGTGCTGTCAGAGCGGGCTGGTGATGCCACGGGGCCGAGCCCCATCCCTGCCTTCCCTCTGCCGGCGGCCGAGGG